ATATAGATACAGAAATATATACTGTTCTATAAAGAAGAACAATATTCTATAACTATTATACAGTTCTGTGCATATTCTGAATTCTTATTTATTCATTGGAATGACGAAAGCAATGCTGACTTCACTTTAATTTGTAATGAATTGAAGACAAAAAAAATTATTTTACCGTAATACACACAATCTGTAACAGGAAATTGGAAGTTATGTTGTTGGTAATAGAAAGGTAAAAATTATTGAGAAATTGTTCTTCAAATGCTTGGCGTGTTCTGCTTCAATGTTTGGCATGTTCTGGTTAGTTTTTTCAAGAAGTTCTACCTTTTCCTTAGGGAAATTTTGCTTCTTATTTGCTGCTAATAAAATGGCGTCCGTCATTGCCAATGGATTTGTGGGAACTAATGTCCGATATTTTCAGTCTCCCGCTAGATGGCGTTCTCGAGCGTTGCGATCGCGAATATTATTTTTCACTACTTTTCCTTTTAATCTTCCGCTTGCAGCCAAAATTTGCTTAGGGTTATTGCAAAACTCTTTACCTATGGCAACACTTTGCAGGCTTTCATCATTAACATGGGGAGAGTCATAGGAGGAGGAAGTACGCCAGTTTCTCTCTTGATTTTCAAATAGATTAAAAACTTTCAAGTTAGGAAACAATACGGAACTGAAGACATAGCTCTAATAGAAAGTGGTTTAGAAATTTACAAAAATATTTGTGACATTTAAATACAAAAAAATATTAAGAAGGGGGAGGGGGAAAATATCGTAGATCATTCCTATGCAACTGAAAAGAGGAGGAGAGGGAAAGGGGTAGGGCCAAAGGCGTGGAACCGGTCTGTTCCCCAGATGGCGTATTCGAGCGTTGCGTTAGCGAATATAAATGATTAGAATAATGTAAATGAAATGAATCTAAATTAATGTAACTCGTTTGATTTCTATCGAAAAAAATAATAAATTCGCTAACGATCGGGAAAATGTTATCAATCTAAGAAGGATTAATTGACTTTCATTTTCAACTGTTTATGGATGGTGTTTTCATAATAAATGTAAACAATTATAATCTCGAGCTCAATACCTGTGCTCTAGTTCCAGTTAGAAAGTTTGCAACTGCTTTGTTGAAAGTTTGCTTTGCTACAGCTTATTCTGCGAGGGCGAGGCGATATTTTCAAACGAATAATTTTATTTCAATAAAAGAAGTAAATTAGATAATTTCTGAGCCCAAATCTGCCGTATTTCATAAGATATTAATGTTATTAAGTAATTCTGGTGAGTTTGAAGTGAAAATATGTTTTAGTTATTTATAGATATATTGTTAAAAAAGGTGACATATTTGCTAGATTTTGAATAACTCGCTTTTTTGGCAGTCCTGATTTGACCTCTTTCCATTTGTTTATTACTGTTTGTTCTTGTTGCTAGATGTGCACCATTTTACATTAGTGTTAGCACCTTTAGCATTGTGAACACAAGTAATAAGCAATCAAATACCACGTTTGCAAAAATCTTAAAACACAATGATCAAGTTGCGAGCCAAATGGCTTTAAAATACAACAGAAACAGTAATCCCGAAGGGCGGTATGGAGCTTGCAGCGTTCCCTAGTGTAGAAAACACCATCCATAAGATGAGTTTTGGTATAGAATATTTGTCTCGCAGTGGACTAATCGTTAAGACACGGTTCCCAGCAGATCACCGAAGTCAAGCATCACTGGCTGCGGTTAGTGTGCGGGTGGGTTACCACTTGGATCAATCTGCGTAGGGACCAAGGGTGTGCGGTATTGGTCCTCGTTAAACTGTGCTACCGTAAAGTTGTCGATTTCACGTGCAGGTCTTTAGGCTACCGATGCGGGGGTGCCATCCCCTCTGCAGAGGATCAAAATTGTGATGGCATGTCTTCGGATCATCCTCAGGGATGTTTCCCAGGCCGCCGCCAATAGCCCATTGTGCAACACTAGTGCGACGTAAATGAACTACAAGAACAAGTAAAGAATATTTACAGATAAATGTGCCCAACTTTTGTAAATTTTATTTCGAACTAAATAGGAGTTTATATTACTGTTTTTGCATTCATAATTTCAAGAAGTTTAGTTTTGTTTTTATTAATATGCACTCTCATGTAGAATAGGAAGTTTAACTTCGCATTGATTACCAACTTCTTTTTGTTTTTTCTTTTCAAGATCGGAGTGATTCATGGTATTCAGCTAGGATTTCAATACATGAGCACCGAAAACAGGAATGATGGAGGATTTATTATCAATACAATATCAAATACTGGTAAGTAAAAGGGAAGTAAAAATTAGACATTTCAATGAAGTTCGAGGAAAATTAAATAACTCTGAACATAGATTTTAATTGGATTGCAAATGCACAGTATTTACTAATACTATAAAGACTCAATCTTGAAAGTTTGAGGAATATATTACAACCTACGGATGATTTTATTTTAATTTTATAACCGTCGTTGAACAGCCGATTCAATTTTGGGTTTACCACTACTTAAGTTCAACTCCGTAGCCTTGTAATTTTGAACCCAATCCAGAAGACAAGGGAACTCCCGGATCAAGTAATAGGGAGAAATTTGCTTTCGTGGAGGACTTTCTGATGGAACTAACCCGCATTTGCGTTACATGGAGAGAAAGACCACGAGTTAGCCTGATGGCAAGGAGACTGTAACCCATGATCCGTCTACCACTGAAGATATGTTACGTCAGCACTGTGGTCGGTGCAAGCCGGATGTGGTATTCGTATCGATCAGACATAGCTGGGATCGAACTCCGGTTCACCTCAATGGAAGGCGAACGCTCTATCCCCTGAGCCATGGTGGCTCAACCTATGGATGATTGATCGTGTAAAGCTAATCGCAAATGGCGCTAGGGGTTAAATTTCGTCGTAAGACTTCCGGGTTATTCCTTCCGACTGATTTTTACGCCTAAACGTGAAATAAACGCACCATCTAATATTATTATACTTATAGGGGTTTCAATATAACGCTTTTTTTCAAACTAACCTTCAATGAAACAAGTAAGAAATTATTTCGAGAGACTACCTAAAAAGTAATAAACGCTGCTATTTTACATAAGTATAGCCAAATCAGGGATAACACTCAAAACATGGATGACAACTGTTTATAAAAATAAAATGGAAGAGGTTAAAAAGAAAGCTCTTACAAAGTTGAAAATATGCAATTTTTTTTATGACGATCGAAAACTACGCGTTTTATGTAAGACATAAAAAGCATCCTACATCATTTGTTCTTTATGAGTACCTTTAGATTTCTGACAATCGACATGTGTTGAATGCATTGTAACAGTGAATACGATGTTTCAGTGAACATGGATTAACTGAATTGGTAGCATGAAGATCGTTTAGAGGAGAGTCAAATGCATTCCTTCGTGATAGTGTACCGACTCCTGACAACGCCATGGCACATTGTTCTTAGCTAGGAGACAATTTTCCTTTTGATTCTGGAATCCTTCGATTGGATAGGCTCCAAGCATATATGAACTTGTAGTGTATCTACCACTACAAAAATACAATTCCAATTCCTTAGAACACGTTAACTCGATTCTATGGTGAGGTACCTTTTCATAAATGGAATGTTGCCATTGTCGATAGCTACATTTCCCACAAATTCAATAGAACACATTTGGGACATTCTAAGAAAAAGTATTTTCGCTCATCTTTGAAAATTTGGTACTTTCCTTGATATAAGGTCAGATGTATTTGCATTGCGTATAACTACTAGAGAGAAAAGCGTATCTACATAATTATTGATATTTATTTCTTAAGTCATGGGTAAAATATTGCATAAACGAACCACAATATCGAATGCTGTCAGAAATTATGATCCGTGATTACAATTGTACTCTTGAAAGAGGGTGGAAGAGAAATGAAAGCACGACCATCGTGTCGACTCGTTGATCTAGCTCTTACCAACTGAACTAATGGGGCATACTTGAAACTGGTTCATATAAATATAAAATAATCTGTATGGGGGCAATGTCTCAGGGGATAGAGCGTTCGCCTTCCAATGAGGCGAACCGGGTTCGAATTACAGTCGATATGAATTCCGCATCCGGCTTGCATCGACCTCAGTGCTGACGTGAAATATCCTCAATCGTTGACGGATCATGGGTTAGAGTTCCCTTGCCGTCAGGCTAATCGTGGGAGGTTCTCGTGGTCTTCCTCTACATGTAACGCAAATGCGGGTTAGTTCCATCAAAAAGTCCTCCATGAAAACAAAATTTGTCCCAATACTTGATCCAGGAGTTCTCTTGTCTTCTAGATTGGGTTCAAAATTACAGGGCTACGGAGTTGAACATTGGTAGTCGTAAACCCATGAAATTGGTTCGGCTGTTCTCAACGACTATTATAAAATAAAATAGAAACAAGAATACTGTATAACCGTAGAAGAAGTGTGATCTTGGACCTGGTAAACTTGAAACAGTTCCAATGTATAGACATGGTGCGTTGCGTTTTTAAAAAGTGCATAAAGGTGCTTGTTTTCGATTTTCGTTTTTTAAAAGTCCTTAAAGGTGCTTTTTTCATTGAGTCTTTTTAAAAAGTGCTTGATATTCCCTTTTCGAATAAGAGATTTTTTTTCTTTATCATGTCCATTTTCGCCATTCGTATTATGTAAAAGCGTGGTTTTCGCATTGTTCTGTTCAACGTTTTAACAATTCATCCAACCATTTCGGCTTACCGTCGTCCATACCTTGAGAAAGCGTCAATCATTTTACATGTTTTTGTGAAATACTTGGAAGTCCGCATGTGCGTCTACTGAGCAGAGTTCGATGAGATTCTAGCACTCTCATGTGTAAAACTGCTGCATTTTGCTAGATATTCTCTATTCCAGGCTTCATTTTTCGAACCGAAAAATCTCTCGATCTTTTTATGGTGGCTAATAGGATCAAGAAAAGAGTTCTTTGCCAGAAACTAGTTATTTTATCGTGATCATGTAAAGCTTTTGAAAATTATTTTGCATTTTTTAAATGTATATAGCGCTTAGAAATATTTTTAAATGCTTAAAAAGTGCTTATTTTTTATTGAAAGATTTGGCTACGCACCCTGATAGAGTGCTAATAAATTAAAATTTCCTTTCTTTCAGGTGTAGAACCTTTCCCTCTTGCTCCCGTATACTCTGGGACGAAGCATGCTGTTGTTGGTTTGACAAGAAGTTATGGTGTAAGTAGTGGCTCTCCCCTTTTCCTAATAATCAGAGTGATTATGTACAGCTGTTATTTATGAACTTGAAGGAGAGGTACTTGCCCGGCAATCCTTGGCCGTAAATGTCATCGTACGCCGCAAGGGACGTTCCTTATTATAGATTATCTTGCGAGTCTATAAACGGTAGTTTCTTCTATCAAAATTATCGTAATTTTGTCGTAATTTTATAACCTATCGAAAGGTACTCAAATTTAGCTGTATTATCGTAGTTATTTGATTTTGTTAATTCAGATATACAGCGGACACTAGACACCTTTGAAAGAAAGATCCTCAGATCCATCTTTTACGCAATTCAAAAAAGGGCATGCTGGCGAACCAGATATAACTTCGAGATCTACCGACTCTACAAGCAGCCCCAAATTTTACAAATAATTCGCACTAATAGGCTGAGATGGCTGGGCCATGTATGGAGAAACCCTGAAAATATCGCCATGAGAATAGTCACCTTTAAGAATCCCTACTAGATGGCTCAACGACATCGAAAATGATTTGAAAACCCTAAAGATTAGAAATTGGAAGGGAGTTGCCATAGATAGGAGGCGCTGGCGTTTGTCAGCTGTTGAGGCAGCCCGCCCTGCAAAGGGCTGTTGCTCTGACCAAGATGAAGATTTAATTTTGTTGAGCTCGCCATTTGGATTCCCGAATTAGAACATTACAATAAAACATCCGTTTTTGAGCCTATTTGAATAAACAATAGTATTAGAAAACGTTAAATTAACATGAAATTAAGTTAATTTAGATATTAAAAAAAAGACCGGTTTCTTATGTGCATGTACTGTTAGTATATATTTGGGAAGCCCTCTAGTGGCGTACGATGACAGATCTGACTATGGGTTGCTATACAATACTTAATCCTTATGGTGTTACTTACCTCTTCTCCAAGTTTGTAACTGCTCTACAGAATTCCCCGGTCGTTAGTAGTTGAAACGCATCTAAATTAGTTTAACTGATTGCGTTAACCTCTGACCTTATCAAACCTACATTAGCCCTTAAGAATTACGGATATTTTTTAGTTTCGTTTTCAAAGATTTATCCGTTTTATATGTGTATATTGATGATATCCCTATCAAACGGGATCGCAACCTAGCGGTAACATCCTCAATTATCTTGTTAGACAGTGTAAAATTTTTTTTAATTTTTTTTTATTTATTTATTTTAATTAAAAATGTATAAATAGGAGAAGAAAATCCTAAGAAGTTTCCTTTTTCTTAACAAAAGCAGTAAGAAATCTTTATTATTGGAACAATTCGTGACATTTTACATTATTACAATTAGTTAGAATTTAATAATTTTATAACTTAATTAGAGTTGTAATTATGTTGTAATTAGAGTTGTAATTAGAGATAATCGACCCAGTCTACAAATTCTCTTAATTTCTGACACCAGTGTAGTTCATGCACTTTTGTATGATTATTATTTTTAGGTTTTTAAGAACTTAAAAATTATTAAAAAAAGAGAGATTTTTTTGTACGTTGATTGCATCTAAAAATATAGCTGATTCTATGTTTCAGGCTGACTATCATTTCAATAAAACAGGTGTGAAAGTTTGTGGCATTGCTCCAGGTCCTGTTGATACTGACCTGACTCGAAACTTTCATTTAAGATGTCTCGATGAAAGAGAAGGTAAAGAGCTAGTTGCCAGTGTCACAACTGTAACGTAAGTGTTAAAAGATTTAAAAAAAATTTAATTCTATGTTACACTCTCTGCACCTTGTTAGCGAGTGTCTTTAACTTTGATCTCTTCAGACCTAGGACATAAACTTCGAGCAGATATGACTTAATAATCATCATAGAATCGCAAGATTTTTGTATAACGTTTGTTACGATCAGTTCCAGAGTCAAGGTTGAACTAGATCTGAGTTACGGATCTAGTTCAGCCTTGCCATAGTAAACTGATCGTAGGACACGGTACTCTGTAAATCACCATAGTCTAGCATCACTATCAGCTGTCAGTGAGCGGATGAATGACCACTTTGATTAGCCTGCGAAAGAATTGAGGGTGCGCGATATCGGTTCGTGTTAAATTATTCTGCAGTAAAGTGCTGACTTTCGCGCTCAGGTCGTCGGACTACCAAAGTGGATCAGCCATAAATATCAAAACTGTAATGGCATATCTTTCGGGTCATCCTTAGTAGTGGTCCCGCAGTGGACTGATCGTAAAAACACTGTTCCCAGTAGAACACCGAAATCAAGCATCACTGGCTGCGGTCAGTGATCGGGCGGGTGACCACTTTGATCAGTCTGAGTAGTGAGTGAGTGTCCGCTGTGTCGTTCCTCATTAAACTGTTCTAACGTAAAATGCTCGACTTCGCGTGCAGGCAGAGCTACCAAAGCAGGGGAGCCATCCCCTCTGCAGAGGGTCAAAATTGCGATGTCATGTCTTCGGATCATCCTCAGGCCCAGACCGTCGCCAATAGCCCATTGTGCAGCTCTAGTGCGACGTAAATAGTGTACTTACCTACTTACATCATTAGTAGTGTTTATCAGATCGTGGCCAATAATCCATTGTGCTGCTACAGTACGACGTAAATAAAGTACTACTTGCCGAACGTAATCTCTGAAAAAGGATTGAATTTGTTTATTTTCTTTGACTACAAGAACGCCTCAATTGCATTAAGAAAACAAAATTTTGAAGAACTCATAATATTTGAGTAGCATCTTACGATGCAATGACTCAATGAATGAACTGGAAGTATCACGTCAGGAGGAGGTCAGGACGATGACGTTATTTGCAGATGTCTAACTGTCCCGTTTTGGCCCGCTGATAACGAATAAAAGTGTCACAATTTAATATTTTTAAAACTTAAATGTAAGAATTCTTATTATTTTCTTTCATTAATACAATTAATAAAATTCATATGATTGAAATATCTGTGCTTAGTGAAATAAATAAACGTAACACATTTTTCATACCCTCGCATTCATAATTTTGAAACTTATATATTGGATATTTGAATTTTTTAAAAATAAAAATATCATTGAGAAAAACCAGTTTAATCTGAACCCATTTAACGAGAGCAATAATTATCTGCTAACTCTATTCCGTGGTTATTACTCAATATACATCGAACAACAAAGGTACGATAATAATCAATGTTATGTAAATTATGATAATTAAGAATTTTACATAGTTTTGTGATCGTAAGTTATTGATAATTTAATAAGCTGTCAGTAAAAGAGTTCATCTGAATCAAAAAATTACATAGGCGACCAGATGGCGTATACAACGCTCAAATACGCCACCTGGGGAGAAGACCGGTTCCATGCCTTTGGCCCTTCCCTCTCCTCCTCTTTTCAGTTCTACAGGAATGTACTACGATATTTTTCCTTTTTTAAATATATTTAACATTTAACTGTCAAAAATACTTTTTAAAATTTTCATGATGCTTCCTTTTAGAGCTATGTTTAATGTAGTTTTCAGTTCCATATAGTTTCCTAACATAAAAGTTTTTCATCTATTTGAAAATCAAGACAGAAATGAAAGTAGTTCCTTCTTCTATGACTCTCCACACGCTGTAGAAATACATGTTATTGAACCACCGATAGATGGCGGAGTTTATCATTAGATTGTAACCGTAACTGCAAACAAAGATTTTGTAAAAAGCAAGAACATCTACATTGTAATGTAGTAGTAGCATTGTCTACCATTGTACCGTATTAATCATGTTAACTATTTAAATATATTTTTGTTACTTACCCCTTGGTAATTATTGAGTAGTTTTCCTGTGCCATCAAGAAAACGAGAAAAGGATATATTCACTAATAATAGTAATAAATCTTCGGTGTATTTACCCTATTAGAATTGCTTTAAGTTGAAAAGCGAAACACGCTAATGGTGAAAGCATGTGAAGTGTTTACATAGGTAGGTAGTTCTGTTCTACGCCACCTATAGCAAATTTGTTATTATAAGAAGTTACCAGTGGCGGATAATCAATTCATTCCAGGGTTGTTCTTTTTTGGTCTGTGCCCAAAGTATAGTTGCTTTTATGAAATAATCACGCTATTCTTGGCTCAGTCTAATTTTTTAGTTAATTCAGGAAATGATCTTCAGAATTGGAGATTCTCGGATAACAGTATATCTTCGTCAGGGTATTGGTGGATATAAAATTAACTCGTAGATCTTCTAAATAATCGATTCCTTACTGCTTAGATCTTGTAAAGAACTTTATTTTAAAATGAAATACTGAAGTATCATTCCTCGTTAAACTATTCTACCGTAAAGTGCTCTACTTCACGCGCAGATCGTCGGGCTACCGAAGCAGTAGAGCCATCCCTTCTACCGAGGATCAAAATTGTGATGGCATGTCTTAGTATCATCCTCAGGGATGTTTCCCAGACCGTCGCCAATAGTCCATTCTGCAGCTCTAGTGCGACGTAAACCAGCAGCAACAACCATCCTCTTATATGTTTTATATAGAAAATAATCATTATGATCCATTGTATTTTTTATAGACCTGATGACATTGCAAAAGGCCTGTTAAAGCTTCTTAAAGACGATAAAAATGGCATCGTGTTGAGAGTAGATTCAAGTGGAATGTATCTTGCCTGAAAGTTTTATTTTTTTCGAAAATGTTTGATGACAATGTTTGTTTCCAAATTTTAAAATCCAATGAGAATTTGTAATTTCATTTTACCAGACTAAAAAATGTATTTAGCATTGGATCCATTTATTTTAAAAATTGTGTCACTTTTAAATCTGAAATATACGATAGTATCCTGTTGTTTTGCTGTATGCATATTTTTGTAACAAATGTATGACATTTAATCATTAGTGTTCATATTATTTTTAATAAAGTTTGTATCTTTGATAAATTTCTATTTCCTACAATATTTTCCACGTGTTTCTTTTATTATATAGTTGAACCTCGTTAAGACGATGTCGAAGTGTAACTAAATTCTTTTCATATTAACCGAAAGTCGTCTTAAACGATAAAAGAATAAGAGGCATTTATGGAGATTTTTTTTTTTAAAAAAAATCACTCAACTGAAGATGTCAAAGAATTTAAATGATAACCGTAGAGAAATATTTTATAAGCATTTTAGGTTAATCAATCGCTTTTTTTAAAGATACAATTTTGACATCACTGTACAAAAGTACAAGCCCACTAACTTCTAATTTTCACATCTTTACCTCCAATGCAACTAGAATCAACACTTTGAGGTAGCAGCCAAATGAAACACTCACAAAAATGATCGAAACAAAATTTTACCGTAATCAGGAAAAGAATCACCACCTAAGCCGGCGTTACTCACGCCGTTGTCAATGGTCCACGCCCCATCACATGATCAGTAGATGACGTCACTAATTGCAGATAGATATGAACTTACGATGACTCCCCATCTCACTCCCAAAAACAAATGCAGTATCCTTACTTGTCTAGTTCAGGAAAAGGGATAAAATTGTTTCAGCGAAGAATTTTTCGGCAAAGGTTATAAAGAAGAATTTATTGGCTGCAATTATTTATTACGTGCAATATTTCCTCTGTCTTAAACGTGCGAAATTAGTCTTTATGTTCGTATTAAAGTATGCTATAATTATTGTTTTGCAAAATAACGTGGTAGGAAAAATATTCTCTTTCATCTTAAGCAAAAACTCGTGTTAAGCGTTTTCGTCTTAAAGAGAAATTTTATGAATTTATTAGGGCAGTGTTTCCCAAAGTGTGGTACGCGTACCCCCAGGGTTACGGGAACAGTTTAGTGGGGGTACGCGTTCTTATGCGAAATATCTTGCAACAAACGAAAATTAGAAATTTTTTTATTTAGAAACAAAACTAACCATGAAAATTTGGGATTACGTATTCTTCTTTTGGCTATTTTTTTGCAGAGTTAACAGTTAATAATTAGTGGTGTCAACAGCCAGTTTTGACTTTTAACTTGCAATTTTTTTTTATAGTGAAGGTTTGTAATAAATTCTACTTACTTAGATTATTTTTATAAAATATAATTTTTATCCCTCTAACACAGAATTTTTTACAAAAATGTAAGAATTTTTTACCGAAAATTTTGTATCAAAAAAGAAAAGTAAGCATGTTTTTAAAAAATTATATTCATTTTTTTTACTAGTAGTACACAGCGTTACGAAAAATTTAGAAAGCGTACACAAAAGTCATAAGTTTGGGAAACACTGTATTAGGGTATCTTTATTGATGAAATTTAAATCATTCAAGAACCTGTACACGTGCCGACCGGCCTGTGTAGGAGTCAGGGAACTGGCCTTACATCAGAGAGGTTCTGTGTTCGAATCCCGGGCAAGGCATGGATGTTCTTTCATTCTCTGTACTATCTGTCCTTACTGTGAGAGCAACGTTGAGCCAACTAATATGGTGCCCCTGAAAGAGTGGCCAACAAATCCAGATGCCTCTTTGACGAAAGGTCATTCTCCAGGTGGGCATTGGAAAAAAAGAAGAACCTGTACACGTTAAAAAAATTTCGACTCTTAAGCGTACTCTCGAAATGGGAAACTTTTAATTTTTGTCTTTGAAAATTATATTCAGATCTGGAGGCAACCTTTGAATGTCCCTGATTTTTATATATTTTTTTATTTTTTGCAATATATTATTACTAACTAATAAAAATAAATAAAAATGGGTCAGCCGTGTAAAGTGGAAATTACTGATTTTCTTAAAGTACCAACACCTTGTTGTGTATTTCATTTAGACAAATTTTATGCTAACAGTCGTTCGTTTTATTTCATTTATAAAATTTTAAATTAAGAAAACACGTATTGCAGATGTATTTCACAAGTAATAAAATTTCACATTTAAAACCTAATATATTAAAAAAAAAATTTCAGCTATGTAAAGTAGAAATTACTAATTTTCCTTAAGTACGACACCTTGTGGTTTATTTTATTTGAACCAATTTTATGCAAACATTCGTTTTTTTTTTATAAAGTATTAAATCAAGAAAATACGCATTGCAGGTGTATTTTACACGCAATAAATTTTCACATTTAAAACCTAATATATTAAAAAAATATAAAAAAATTGGTCAGCAGTGTAAAGTAGAAATTACTAATTTTCCTTAAGTACAACAGTGGTTTATTTCATTTGAACCAATTTTATGCAAACAAATATTCGTTTTATTATTATTTTTTTTAAATAAAATATTAAATTAAGAAAATAAATATTGCAGGTGTATTTCACAAGTAATGATATTTCACATTTGAATCTAAATTTATCGTGGTATCGTGATGAATGAAGCAAATATGGGCGTGTAGGAACCATAATTCTTTACCGTATTTATTGTAACAAGAATTGAGGATAACAGTACTACGTACTCCATAAATCATGTTCCCAGTTTCACGCTGGCAGATATTATTATTAAGAGGTGGGGGAAGTAGGAAAAAAAGTTGATTTTTTTTTTGTAAATGTTTGAACAGAAATTTTTTTAAAAGTTACATAAACTATAGCTACATAAAGAATTTTATTTGGTTTAGAGGCTAAAAAAAATTTAATATTTTAGAGGAAATACGGAAAAAAATAATTATTGAAGTGAAATTCGCGCATCAAGGTTTTGTATATAATACAGCAAGTTCTTCGTTCTAAAATTCATATTAATTAAAATATATATATATACATATATCTAGAAATCTTAATGCAAAATTAATGTAAATTCTTCTAATGATTTTTATTACGCTTCCTCGCATTTCAAATTACGACTACGAGAGCTGATATTCTAGGCAATTCCACTAACCTAATAATCTTCAAAAACATATTAATTAGTATCAATAACTACAGCGCTATTTTAAAATTATCTAGAATAACTCGGTGTGGATGTTTTGTTATTATTATTTTTTTAATCAACGTTGAGGAATAACAATACGCAAAAAAGGTAAATTCGCCAAACATTTTTTTTCTTTCTTTTTAGCATTACGAGAGCTGATCTTCCAGGCAATTCCAATGACCTAATAATCCACGAAAATATCATTCCAAATATTATGTAAATCGGGGGGATGGGGTGGAAAAGGACAGTTTGGAAAAGACCTATTCTTTCCACCCACACTTTACAACCGGCCGTGAGTGACGTCATGACATTCACTTCTTTGAATAATGTAGGCACGGGGCTCTTATAACAGCCGCGCGTACCCCCCACTCTTCAGATACGAGCAAACGATCGAGGAGTTTCACCTTTTTGCCGACGGCCGCCATACCGGTAAAGAACGAAAAGGAACGATTTTTTGTTGTTGTTGATCTCATACTCCTCAGTGAAATCTTGCGGTGGAGGATAGCTGGAATACCCCAGTGTCACAGAGTCGTTTCTTTGCGAAGCATCTAAACCGGAACCTGCAGCAGATGCAGTGAGTTAAAGTGATGATGCAGAGAAAAAAATAAAAAGCAGCTCACCCTCCTCTCTTCTCTATCACCCAGGATACGCAAGAGAAGAACACTATAAGGATTATTTATTTATTTACTTTTTTATGTATCTTTATTTGGGTAAGTTTATAATCTTAATCTTAATCCCTCTCCATTATTATAACTGTTATTTTTTTCTTTTCTGCAACTCGTGAAGGTATATGCACGGGGCGAGTTGATGATATAAAAATCAATTTTTATTCTTCTTATTATTGCTTCTTAAATAATAAGTCAGTAAATGATTACTGATTTTACACATAGACAGGTGACAGTTATATTTTTATTCCTGGTGAAATTATTATTACCATTTATGTAAGGTAATTGTTAGTATAATTTCACGAAGTGATTTGTTCATAGAGCTTCTCTTCATGTTTAGATTTTCCTCAAATTTAATTGAACCCTATACGATCACCTAATTGTGTTCAAAAGATAATTTAAAAATATTGAATACATAATTAATATTGTTTTTAATTAATGTTGCTTCCTATACTAGCATTATATCTATGGGTGACTAAGAGACAGAATCTCTGGTAGGGTGTTTTTCCAACCATACTCTTTAGAGGAGGGATCGAATCAATCGCTTTTTTTTTGTTTTTGTTCCTTCAAAAAAATTCTTTTTTTATAAATTTAATTTTTTTTTTAAACTCATAATACTTTAAACATATTCATTTATTCCTGTTATTATTTCTGCTATTCTGCTGTGTACTATCATCCATAGAATAATTGGAATACTGGAATTATTCCATAGATGTCTAAGAAACAGAATATCTGAAAGGGTGGTTTTCCAGCCATATTCCTAAGCGGAGAGCTGGAATCAATCGCTTATTTCTTTTTTGTTTTTGTTTCCTCAAATATACTTTTTCTCCCCTTCATAATTATAAATTTGGATTTTTCTTAAAACTTGTGATACTTTAAACATATTCATTTGTTCTTTTTTTATTATTTATGCTATTCTGCAGTATACTATAATCGATAGAATACTAGAATTATTCTATAGATGGCTAAGAAACAGAATCTATGGAAGGGTGTTTTTCGAACTGTAATCTTTGGAAGAGAGCTGGAATCAATCGCTTTTTTTTTTGTTTTTATTCCTTCAAATATATTTTTTCTTTATAAATTTAAAATTTTGATTTTCTTAAAACTCTTAATACTTTAAACATAATAATTTATTCCTGTTAATATTTTTGCCATATACTATCAATAATAGAATAATTAGAATACTAGAATTATTCCATAGATGTCTAAGAAACATAATATTTGGAAGGGTGCTTTTCCAGTAATATTCTTAAGCAGAGAGCTGGAATCAATCACTTATTTCTTTTTTGTTTTTTTTCTTCCTTCAAATACACTTTTCACCCCTTCATAATTATAAATTTAGATTGTTCATAAAACTTGTAATATTTTAATCATATTTATGTTTTCCTTTTATTATTTCTGCTATTATGCAGTATATTATAAATCCATAGAATACTAGAATTATTCTATAGATTGCTAAGAATCAGAATCTATGGAAGGATGTTTTTCCAACCATAATCTTTAGAGGCAAACTAGAATCAGTCTCTTATTTTTTTTTTGTTCCTTCAAATATGTTTTTCCTTTATAAATTTAATACTTTTATTTTTGTTAAAACTTGTAATACATATCTAATTTATTCCTGTTATTATCTCTGCTATTCTGCCGTATACTATCATCCATAGAATAATTAGAATACTAAAATTATTCCATGGATGTCTAAGAAACAGAATATCTGGAAGCGTGCTTTTCCTGCCATATTCTTTAGCGCAGAGCTGGAATCAATCACTTATTTCTTTTTTGTTTTTATTTCCTCAAATATACTTTTTCCCTTCATAATTATAAATTTGGATTTTTATTATAACTTGTCATACTTTAAACACATTCATTTGTTCTTTTTTATTATTTCTGCTATTCTGCAGTATACTATAATCCATAGAATATTAGAATTATTCTACAGATAGCTGAGAAACAAAATCTATGGAAGGGTGTTTTTCCAACTGTTCTCTTTAGTGGAGAACAGTAATAAATCACATATTTTATATGTTTTTGTTTTCTCAGATGCATCGTTTTTTTTGCAATTAGAAATTTTGAGTTTTGTTAAAACTTTAGCTTTAAAAATGTACATGTGTTCTTTTTATCAGTCTCCTTTTCTGCATTATAGTCTCTTTCTGCATTAGTCTCCTTTTCTGCATTTCTTTTATTATTTCTTCTTCTCTGTAGTACATTCTCTTCCTTAAAATAATAGAATTATTAAGACAGAATTATGAGAAATAGAATCTCTTTAGGGTTGTTTTTCCAACCATAATTTTTAATCGACAGTAAGAATCAATAACTAATTTTTTATTTGTTTTTTCTTTCTTTCGGATACATCTTTTTTCATAATTATAAAGTTTGATTTTAATTAAAACTTTTAATACTTTAATAACGTAAGTACGCTTTCACCTTTCCAATAGAATACTTTATTGTTATTTTGCAGTATTCTATTGTCTATGGAATACTGGAATTATTTTATGGGTTGTTGAGAAACATAATCTCTGGCAAGGTGTTTTTGCAACAATAATTTTTAGTGGAAACCAAGAATAAATAAATTATTTCACACTTGTTTTTGATCCTTCATTTTGATCTTTGATTAGTTTTTTGTTAGAAAACTATAAATTTTGATTTTTGATAAAACATGTAATGCTTTAAAACCTTTTTTAGTATTATTCTTTCTTCTATTATTCTGTTGTACAGCATTCTAAAATTATTTTATGGGTTGTTAAGAAACACAATCTCTGATGTTTGCTCAACTATTCACTTTAGTGGAGATTAAGAACAAATTAAATTATTTTCCCCTTGTTTTGTTTCTTTATATTGATCTTTTTTTCCCTGTTTTCTAATTTATAAATTTTTGATTTTTTATAAAACTTGTAATACTTTAAACATATTCATTTATTATTATTCATTCTGTTATTCTGTAATATTCTGTTGCCTAAAATTCTAGAATTATTTTATGAGTTGCTAAGAGACAATATCTGATGTTTGTTCAACTGTTCACTTTAGTGGAGATTAAGAACAAATCAAATATTTTTTACTTGTTTTGTTTCTTCATATTGATCCTTCTTTCCCTGTTTTCTAATTTATAAATTTTGATTTTTGATAAAACTTGTAATACTCTAAAATATTTTTCTTTACTATTATTTCTTCTTAAAATGTATAATTATAAAAAATGTGAAAGAAATATGAATCGAAATGAACAAAGCAAATGAAAAATAATTTATGTATGTAATTTAACTTTATAAAACATCTTTGCATTAGTTCTGTTTCAAAGCAACGCATGAAATACTGAAATTCTAGTATTCGATTAACAATTAAATCGTTCAGGATAACAGAACCAATAACAAAAATTAATGCTTTAAATTATTAGAAGTCTTAAAAAAATCGAAATTTTATCAATTTTAAGAAAGTGAAAGAAAGATCAATTTGAAGAAACGAAAAAAATAAGAAAAAATTTGTTCAGTTCTCCACTAAAGTTAGAAAAACCTCATATCAGAGTGTTTTGAAGACACCCATAAAATAATTCTACTATTCTATAGGTAATAGAATACTGTAAACCAGCAATAGTAATATACTCAATAATAGTATTTTCTTTATAAGAAAATTTTTATAAGTTTTATCAGAAATGAATATTTTTAATTATGAAAAATTGTTTTAGTAAAATGAATGTCAAGGAACAAAAAATAATGAAAAATAATTTATTTGTTCTAGTTTCCTACTGAAGATTATATTTAGAATAACACTGCAGCAGAGATGCGGTTTCTCTACAACACATAAAATAATTCTACTATTCTCTATGCAAAATAATTTTTGATAAAATTTGCAATATCTTAAAAACAATTTTTCAATATTGTTATTACTTCAATTATTCTGAAGTATTCTATAGTTTATAGAATATTAGAATATATAGTTTATAGAATCAAGTTTGATTTTTGATTAAACTTGTAATATTTTAAAAACATTTTATTATTATTATGATTTCTGCTACTTAAGTAGGATTATTTGGTCTACAGAATGCTAGAATTTATTTTATGGGTTACAGAGAAACAAAATAACTGCTAAAGATATTTTTTCACATATACTTTTCAGTAGAGGGCTAGAACAATTAAATTATTTTTCATTTGTTTTTAATGCTTCATATTCATATTTCTTTCGCTTTTTCCATTGTTATAAATTTCGATTTTTGATCAAACTTGTAATATTTTAAAAAAAGCATTTTATTATTATTATTTCTGCTTTTATGTAGGGTCTTTGGTCTATAGAATGTTAGAATTTATCTTATGGGTTACAGAGAAACAAAATAACTGCTAAAGACATTTTTTCACATATACTTTTCAGCGGATAGCTGGAATGATTAAATTATTTTTCATTTGTTTTTAATGCTTCATATTCATATTTCTTTCGCTTTTTCCACAGTTACAAATTTTGATTTTTGATGAAACTTGCAATATTAAAAATAAAAAAATAAAAACATTTTATTATTATTATTTTCGCTTTTTTGGTGATATAAATGTTAAGAATGCCATAATTATTTCATGGCTTGCAGATAAACAGAATTCCTGGTAAAGTTTTTTTTTTTTTTCATTTACTTTTCAGTAAAGGAATAAATTTTTATCCATTAGTTTTTGATGTTTTATATTATTATATCTTTCGCTTTTTCTACAGTTATGAATTTCGATTTTTGATCAAAATTGTAATAGTTTAAAAACTTTTTATTATTGTTATTTCTACTATTATTTTGGATTCTTTGGATGCAGAATACTCGAATTATTTTAGGGATTCCCGAGAAACGAAATATCTGGCAGGGTGTTTTTCCAATAATTTTTAGCAAGAAAATAGTACAAATTAATAATTTTTCATTTGTTTCTGTTGTCACTTTTTTCAAAATTATAAGTATTCATTTTCGATAAAACTTATAATATTTAAACAAAAAATCATTTTTAATTTCCTTACTGCTGCATGGTTTATGGCATTCTATGGCCAATGGAATTCTAAGTTTAATTTTTGTGTTGCTGTGAAACATAATCCCT